TCTACTTTTCACGTTACATTTTGTAATCACAAAGCGGTACGAGGACTCGGGTAACTAAACTTTTATGAAATTATAAGAATTTTATATTTAATAAAATATTATTTTCTCTAAATATATAGAATATAATGTATCTTTCTCTCTATATATACATATATATTCTTTTTTTCTAAAATGATATTTTTTCTACAATAAACAATGATAAAAAATATTGTGACAATAACAATGTAACAACTGGATGTATAACATTTAGAAAGTAATATAATTAATTGTTGCTGTCCTGTGAAGACATAATACATTCATTGTAATTTATTTATCTCCATGAAAAAGAAATACAAATTGGAATTATCTGTTTTTCATATTTTTATACATATATGGTAGAAAAATAAACCGCGAATTATGAGACGACCTAATATTTCCTTTAAATTGATTTTTTAATACTTCAATCTACGTGACGGAAATTTAAATTTAATATATAATTTGGAGAAAAAATATTATGGTATAGGAAAATGAATTGATTATAAAATGAATACCTAGTACTGAAAGTAAATGCAAAATAATAAGTATCTATACTCTGTATTTGCAAACGACGTATACGTTACGATATGGATGATTAATTTTCTGCTAGCAGTTGAATAGACAAATGTTACATGAATACTAATTTTCTTATCTTACTACGCCATTAAAAAAAAAGTAACATTTACTATGTTACAGGGAAAAACTGATTTACTGAAATTTAAAACACAGCGTTATATTTATAACAATTACATTTAATCATAGAAATACGAATTGGAAATGAATCAATTTTAAGTTTCTTTTCTTTGAGTTATCGAGTGGCATGTCAAATTGAATACGATAAAAAAGAATGTTAGATATGAGATCACCATTTCCTCTATAAAAATGATTACGAAACCGCATCACGATGGAACTAATATTGGACAGACAAACTGGTTCTTGCATTTAAAATATCGTCAAGGTTCATTTGTAGCCTGGTGATTATTTCTGATTTTCATCGAAACGGCTACAATTATGTCTAGAGATAGATTATATAACAGATCGTTGAGTTCATCTTTCTCAGCCAGCATGGTTAATGGGGTCTGAAAACAAAACGTTGTTAAGCCAATTACGGTGATTTCAGGCTCGTAACTGCAGTTCGATGTTTGTTAAAGCATATTTTCATATAGTAAATCAACTCTGAATAAATTGTTCAAAGTTATTTACGTATTTCAAATCTTTGTTTTCTTTCCCTTTAAATTTGTTTTGTTTCTAAGCAGGTTAATAGTAGAAATATCAAACAGGTTAAATCAACCCATTTCAGAATTTTTATTTTGCAAGTATGTAAATTATGAGGACACTTGTGCGAGAGATTGTAAAATAAATTTCTATGTTTGTATAGATACAAGAATAAGAGGCCCTTCAAATCTCGAGAAATGTGTTGTTCTAATTTTGATAAAAAAATAGAATTAAGTCATTTCAATTGCTCCGTAGTTCCAGTGTTAAATTTCTTTCAAAGACTATGAATCAAAAAGAATTCTACAAATCCTGTTCAGAGTTAATAGTGCAATTTTTAGTTACGTATAATGAAATATCAATCTCCATTAAAGTAATTTGACTTGCCACAGAGTTCACGATTAAAACGAAATTTCAAAGGCAATTTATCCTATAAAAATGTTCCTTCTAATCGAAGAAGGCGTTTCATAGGTTAATGCGATTTACGTTGAATATATTACATCGTTCTATCATAATAATATTATCTATTAGAGTTATTAGTGTTATTGGTGACTTCTTACAGAAAGGAAAATTGTGCTGAAATTGTATACTACTAAACTGTGTAATTACACTAGTATACTACTAACTGAATACTACTTGTGTACTATTAATTGTATAACATTTTTATACTACTAGTTGTATACTACCTGTATATTACTAGTTGTATACTAATTGTATACTGGCACAATGAAAAACAAAATTTCCCAATTTTAGTACTCACAGTGTTTTCTAAAAAAAACTTTTCGATTCATCCGAAATGGAAAGAATAGACAAATTCGAGAGCCAAGAGTGAGCCGATTTTTGTTGGCCGTTGATCAAATCGCAGACGGTGACGCAATACCGCTTAATTGGCTCTGACGTTGCTCGAAGCGTTCTGTTTAATTGCTCGTTACCACGTTTGACCCGTCAATGATCCGAGTCAATGATTTCGACCTGGCGATTCGAAAATTCACGAACGCCGAGGCGTTTCGATAAGCTTTCACTGGCGCTGCGCCAAAGACGAATATCAGATTGTTCGTACAGCGGCGAGGAAAAAATCCGGAAGGGACCAGAGAAATTGCCTCACGCATTCTAAACAACTTCGGATAACGTGGAAATGCAAGTCAATGTGATCCAGCGATTGCGATAGGTTATTATCGCCGAAATCGTTGATCAAAGGTGCGACGGTTCTCGAACTGCTCGAACGTACTGTGAAAGACTGTGGGCACTTTGAACCTTATAACACCTAAACTGTAGATTTTTATGCATCTACTGGAAATTTGGAAGTGTAAAATTATTTGAGCAGATGTGTAAAATTGCATAAAATATTTATGAATGTTATATGAATGTATAAAATTGTACAATACTTACACGGTACGTTGCTTATATGAAATAAGTGTAATGATTTCTATAATGTTCGTTAGGGAAAACCATTTTCTATTGTAATTCTACTTTCCTAATTATGTTCTGAAAAATTTGAATTTGCACAAAGATCTATAGTTTGGTGATAACTTCGTGAAAAGAAATATAATCATTTTTGGGGATCCATTGTAAAGATGAGATTTTAATCTTTAATATTATGATGGGTTTAGTTATGGACAATATTTTTCAGTGGTTTTAGAGATGTTTGAATTTTCACAATTTAGAAGGAGAAAAGTATCCTCATATTTTTGTTTGTTAGATGATGTAAAAATATCTTTCGAAAAACTGATTTAAAATTATAAAATTTGAAGCTTGACACTTTAAAATATGTTTAGCTGGATTGTTGTACGATTGTTTCAAAAAGTTACAACAATTCGAAGTGATGACAGTTTTACATGCAGTGTTTGGATATTTTCGTGAGTTACTGTGATTGCTATGTAATGTCCAACTTGATTGGCCTGAAGTAATTTTTTTCGCTTCATTCCTAAGGATATGAAGACTCAGATATATTTTCCTTTTCAAGATTGGATTTGCATTGCAAATTTTAAAAACTGGTTCGTTCGTTGAAAAGAAATTTGTCCAATATAGAGGGAAGATATTTATAAGGAAATCATGTTTAATTTGCATACTAATTTGTGAAATGTCTACAGAAATTATATAAATCACTTACTTCTGTTGATAAATAGAGAATTCAAGAATTTTTTGTACCGCTAGAACCATTAAAAACAGTAGGAATGTAAAATTTCAAGGCTTGGTAGCCATATCATTACAAACATATCTGTTTTTTAACTGAATCACACAGTAAATATGTATCAGAATAAATTTAGAAGTTGGTTTCATCATAATTTATATGATTCAGCTACAAAGGTTGCGTTATTGCACAAATTATTAGCAATGGCATCCAAAAATGCTGTACTAATGTGTTTATATCTACAAATACGCCATATAATCAAAATAATATTCCAATTAATAAATATAAAGAACCTACCATGAAGTAAGAAAGCCATTTTGTCCAGACATACCATGAAACACTAAGTAATCGGTTATTGACCAGAGAACAAGAATAAACATGCGATTAGATAATTATTAATTTTATAATCAATTCATAGTTAAAAGTATATACACAACTCTGAAATAGGAAATAAGCATTATCCATTTTGCATTCAATGAATGGTTACTTTCATTCCTAAAGAATGTACAAAACATAGATGACATTCCACAGTTTCTAATTCACTAATTCAATTATTCGATTATCCCTAAATCAAATACAAAAATTCCAGGATTTTATTATCGAGAAAGTAAGAAAGTGTGTTAAAAAACCGCATAATGAGCCAGTGTAACAATTATTTGCAACGCCGATGCGTTACACGTTGATCATCGCGCCTTGTCTCGGATCATTTGAACATGAATCACATGGGCAGCGTAAAATCAACAAGAATCGGTTGAAAACTAATTTTCCTTTTTTTCCCAATTTTTTTTTGTAATTTGTCTGGATATTTGGAAAACTTTTATAACATTTATATACATATCATAAAGATGGAACATCCAGCGAGGTTACTCTGTATTGTTTATTTTTCTGGTAGGCCCTTTACTAGGTTCTTTAGGTACTTCCTTTTTAGCGTTCCTTTAGGCATCGTTGCATGTGCTTTCGTAATTAGTCATTTCAATGGTTTGAAACATTGCCTGAAAGCTTTTTTGCTAAGTACTTATTTATCCACTAATGAACTTTCGTCTGTATCTCGAGAACGAATGCAGCTATCGAAGCGAAACAAAAAGGAAACGAAAGTTCCACACACCAGCTACAAAACCCACATTCAATTATGTACATAATCGCCATTACATTCGTTAGATTCTTGTAAATGCGGTCGAATCCCATCATTCCGCAAACGAAAAATCCTGTTGCTCTACTTTCAACAAACGATGTCACTGGTGTCAGCCTTATTATCCAACTTGAAACGAACACCTTTGAGCATCCTCTTCAATTCTGGGAAAGAATGTATCCAGATCTTGTCCAGATAGACGCGGGATGACCTAAAATTTCAACCTCGCTATTTCATTGACGTTCACGTCGGAACTCGCTCTAAACGACACTGTTCGTGACTGCGTGAAGCAATCTTGGCGAGATTTGGCTTGTTCATAGAGGAGGAACGTGGTTACAAACCGATTCATCACGCAGGCCCGTATCTCCCATCATTTCCGAGATACAGACGAAAGTTCATTGGTTTCTAGCCGACAATCGTATCAACGATTTACGACTATGACGTGTTTCGCTCCCACCGGTGGCCCCGTCCGGGATTTCCTGACAATGAAACCATTACGGTCGGGCATTTCCAGCGAAGTAACGACCTGGTGGGCACGGCCGCGCGCGCGCCGAAGGATTCGTGCCTGATGAGTAAACGTGACACCGGCCCGTGAGTAAAACCGTGGTGGGGACACGGCCAGTTACTCGTCGGGCATCACGTCTCTCCGCTTTTCTGTGGTGCACTCAGTTCGACTCGGTTACGAGCGTTAATCGGACGTTTTTCTTTTTCACACTGCGTGATCAGACAGCCGGCAGGCTACGATAGGTAACGACAGCAAAAGGGACGCACGCCTAGCGCAACGACGAACTACACGCGGTTCAGCGAGAATGATCCTCATACCGGTGAGTGACGCCGGAGCAAGCAGCTTAGGCTTTTAGAGTTTGATCATTGGATTTTAACCAGTTAACTTTTTGCTCTATCATTTCTTTCTAAAGAGTGATCGATTATAGCTACTTTGTTATTAACACTTTCATTGGCACAGTGGTCCCATGGAACCGGAGCTTCGAAATGACCTGAAAACAATTATAATTCATAAGTAAATAAATAAATAGATAACAGTGTAACGTAAGAATTGTGCTAGCAGATAATTAATATTTGTTCCTTTTTATCTTTGCTACAAAGGAACAAGTGATACGTAAAATGCTGGTATTTTTTTGTGGCAGTCAACGTGTTAATAATTTATTGAGAATAAGAGGAAGTTACAAATTTATTCTTTGTCGACGAGTGATCTAAGGTATATAATCATTGATAACAGAAACGAATTGAATAATATTTATGTTTGTTAAATTCTATTTGAAATCTTCACGAGTCTGAGATAATATTGTAGGGCAAAGGGTTAACTGTGTTCGAGGAGTATATACGTCATCTTATAATTAAAATGATATTAATTCTTTCAACAATAAATTATTTAGTTTTTCAGATAAACGTATAACTCTTCTTCATGTTGCTTTAGCTGTTCGTTAGAATATATTATAGGTGCATTTGGCCTGTGTTAGACGAGTATACACTTCATTATTTGATTTCTTTGCAAGCATTGTCAGAGATTTCTGAAATTAAATTCCACAGTTAACAGGTTAACACGTTGACTACCGATGGAGAATATGGAAACTTTCCCTGTACTTTCAGTTATTTTATTGCTTTATAATGCAATAGGAGACATGACTTGTATACTGGTTTTAGGGTATAGGGCTAACACATGTAGACCGGTTAAGTAGACCTCAGTAGTCAATGTGTCAAAGGCATCTTTCAATACTATTTTTCACCTAACAGAACCATTAATTAAAAAAATAAATAATTTAATTCACTAAATAATTAAACATTTAATCTAAAAGATAATTTAGATATTTAAATATTTCAATCTGCACAAACGTATATTTAATGAGTTCTTACGAAGGATCCTCGAATCGTTATTGATCTTTTCCTGCGAAACTGCTTTGTTATTTTAGCGGATCACAAGAAAATTAACCCTTTGCAGTCGAAAGTTCTTCACCAGAAATATTCAATAGTTCTCGATGAGGTACAGACGACATTCTTTTGAAACTGACTAACAAAAAAATATACATAAATTAACAACGAAGTCAATATTGTATATGTGCTGTATATTTTGAAATTGGACTAAGTTATATATTTTTAGTTTCGAGGTATTTAAACGTTTGTGTTCGAATAGATTAAAAATATTTTATACTATGCAACAAATTTTCAACAATATTTAGTTTTGAAAAACGAGAATTTATTGTAACTGTGTAATGTTGTGTGTAATTGATAGGGAAATATGATTTTTGATACTTGAAATGACTTAGAGCATTTTCAAAACAAAGGACACGTTTCTTGCAGCATCTTAGAGGATATAAGGTGCATCGTTTTAATCGAATGGAATTTTCCAGTGTATATAATTGTATCTGGTATCGTGTCTTCAATTATGTATCTAATTGTTATTCTGGGAAATTGTGGCTTGGCTGTAAATGTTGATCCAATATGTAAGACAAAAATTAGAGGATATTAGGAGGGTAGGATTTAGATTTATGATATGCTGGGAATTTTGAGTGGTTTGATTTTAGGAGCTTGTTCAAACATGATGTATCTTTGAAGTTGAAAATTGCCACTTTTTCTGGAATTGATTGTAGTCTACATTATAATTAATGACTTAATTAATGATTTGTTGACAAACCTGAGGATTATATAATAATAGAACACAACGAAATTTTCTTTCGACTGAGCATTCTAACAAAGAAAATTAATGAATTATTTCAGGATTTCAAAGTATATACTCATATATGAATTAAATTTCAAGTTAAACCTTTAATTGGTCGTTCTGCTTTTTATGTTATTAGAATATAATTGCATCTGTCTCTGTGTTGAATAAAATAAAATTCATATGAACATTGAATTTGAATGCAAGTAAATATTTGAGGTTTCGCAAGAGATTCAGATGAATTATATAATATTTATAATTGTAACTGTCTGTCATTTTTAATACACATTGATAAGAAGTCATCTAAAAATGTTTAATCTTTTTAACTTTTTAAGTTTTTAATGTTTTAATTTTTAATTTTTTTAATTAATCTGTCTAACGAGCAGAAATTTGAATGTCTTGTACGAATGTTTTGCGTGATTCGTAAAGATTCTGTTCAGCACATGACCTGACCCTCGCCTTTCTAAGAAGTCCATTCATGATAAGATTAATACGATGCGTAGTCTTTCCTTCTGTTGATTTCATTTCAACGTTCTTGTTGTTTTTGCATTGTCGTAACAAGATGAACAGACCGTTTTATTTCTATAGGAATATAATATTATTCTATTTTCTCTCTGTTCTACTATAATTAATTTAAGTAAGATATTTTGTGTTAGTATTTTAATAGTAATATATAATATTTACGTCTCAAGATTTTATTAAAATGATGTTTCATAATGGAAATAATATACAGTAAACAATTACTTTATATTCATTGATTTTAATTGATACGAGATATAAACATAATTTACACCGATTACATTCATACATAAATATAAACCTAATTCAAATATATATTTATATGAAATTGATTTCAATTATTGTAAAGTATTATCATCATATTGCCTTTTATTAATTATTCTTATTCCTTAACAAAATTTTAGTAACATTTTATACATTATTAACCATCTCAATACTCAAACGACTGACGTAATACCGATTATTATTATTTAGAAATGAATTATAGGAAACTTTTGATATCAAACTTATAAGAATTTCATCAGGTAAAAGGGCATTTAAAAGTTCATTTTCGCACGCATAACAAAAGTGCATTTACAATGTTTCCTGTGTCATGTTATGTCTTCTGCGGACCATGAAGGACAGGTATTGTTTCTTTCGTTGACTTTATTGTCTTTAAAAAGGCGATTAAGCGCCACAACATGGGATTTCCCATTATCGTTTGTTGGCGAGGACGTCGACGTTGATGTAAATATTTCCGTAACTACCCGCTAACTATGAGGACAACATATTTATATTATAAACATAAATATTTATATGAATAATAAATAAATTTGTAAACTATAATGAATATAAATGTTTGTGGAATATATTGAATGAAATTATAATAAATATAATAAATATATATATAACTGCTTATTTATTATTATAATAATTATTATAATATAATATATTTATTTATATTGATTATATTTATTACCGGCAATATAATTATCCATCAACATGGCCAGTAATATGTACCTTTTACATTCAAGTTCGATTTTTCATTGTCATGAGTTCTATAAAAGTCTAAACAAATTTCAGGACACTTTTATAGTTCCTAATTTAATATATAAATGAAATTTTAGCAAAATTTGCACATCATTTTGCGAAGTCATAAAGAAATGAGATTTTTGATAGCCTGATGATAATGGTTTGTGTGTGTGTGTGTGTGTGTGATAATGGTCTGTTTTTAATATAATATTAATATACCTATATTTATTTAATGTGCTGTCCTTATGCGCTTAACTGGTTAATTATTGGTAAATTTACCTTAGTTGTTTCTGTTTCGGGTCGCGAAGATGATTTTCAACACAGAATTTACTTTCGCGCGGAATCGGCGTGCCGCGTAGATTCTCACGGCACGTGCATCATTTATCAGCAATCCTTCAAACCAAACACGTATACACGCATTAAGAATTCACTTACCATTGCACGTTTGTCCTTGCTGGCGTTTCTGAATTTTGGAGCGGTCTCGCGAATCACAATATTCGGATAATTATATAAACGACGTGTTGCAATTCGCTCGAAGAGTTTTAGCTGAGAAGAGAATAGAAATACGAGATAGCAGGCAAATGTTTGGCTGCAGGATAACCGCACGTAACATATATTAAAGTCAGCACCTAACGAAAAGTGAAAAAGAATTGTGTACGTGTACATTTGATAAAATAAATAATTAATTGTTGAAAAAATTAATGTTATTTAGGGTTCCATGATGACTGGTACACCCATAAATATAGTTAACTGGTTCATCTCTACCTAACAACAAATGCTTAGAAACATGTGATTGTGAAACAATGTTTGTTCTCTTCTTAGTAACAAATAGTATTAGAAATTATTTTTGAATTTTTAGAATTTAGAAGATTTAGAAGTAACGTTTTTCTGTTAAAAATAAATATTTAGACATATGAGACTATAGAAAAATATTTAAATAATTATTATTTTCGAGTAGATACAGATTTCTAAGTAATTAGGATTACATTTCTGCGTGTATTTACATAATTCACATAAAGTGGAACGACTTCACTTTTGTTGAAGTAAGTGTAAAATAAGAGAAAATCTATAAAACATGTCGTTTACACGAGTAAGATGAATATTCATTTGCTTATAATGTTTCCATTTCACCTGAACTTTCTTTTTCTATCCATCAATATCTTAAGTTGAGGGTAATTAGATATGTATTTCGACTGAAAACAGTATCAAAAAGTATTACTTATTGACAGTTAAAAGAAATTAGAAAATATTAATAGAAGCCGAAGGAAATTGTGAACACATCTGTTCAGTTACATATAATTATAAGATATTTAAATGTAAACCACATTATATGGAGAATAAATAACATGATGTACATACTTAATCACAGTGAACTGATACATTCGTTTAATCAAATCACGTAGAAAATTAAGTTTATCACAGAAGAACGTTCAAGGAAAAGATAACGATTAACTAACACGAGCTAGTTTTTCTTAACTGTAACGCAAGAAACATAGGAATAAATATGCGAATTATTGCAGGCAAGAAATTAGTATAACGAAAATTGGAACTAATTGGAATTAACGTTAAGGAGATAACGAAAAACATTGTTTTCGGCGTTACTGGGTGTTTTTTCATTTA